AACACCTTTCAACCGATATGGATACAACTTCAAGGATTCCTCCCCTTAATTCTGCTATTCCTACATCTGTGCCATCCACAAGTGATCCGACACCGACACAAATCTCCCTGCCTTCTGTAAAAAGAAATTGACTCGATCCGAGGCAGGGAGTGTTTATTCAAGATCAAGAACCACCAGTCCAACAACCCTCCACAGCTGCTACACCAACTCAATCGACCCTAAAAGGACCAAGTAATTTTAGATCTTCGTTTGAAGTCGGGAGTTCTTCTGCTCCTGGGGGTTCTTCTTCTCCACAACCTGCGCATGATGCTGCCTCTTTGAGGCTTGCCAGGTTTCTTGCTCAACAAGATTCAGATCCTTTACCTCGTGGCAAATAAATATCAATAGGTGAAGGAAGTTCAGGGGGAGCAGGCCCATATATCTCAGAGCTCAAGGAGGAGATCACTACTCTTAAACAGAAGATCATCGAGAAATACGTTCTGATCGGAAACCTCGATATTCGAGTTTCCGAGCTTGAAGAAGAAAACTTTCAGAAGTCTAAACAGATCTCCGATCTCCAGCTTAATCTTGGTGCCCTATCAGCAGGCTACTCTGACTTGAAGAACAAACTTATTGCAGAATTTGGTGACAAGTTCAAGACCACAGTCGAAGAGCCTTGCGCCACTGCAGTGATCAAGTTTCGAGATAGCGATTGCGCTATTCGTCTTGTTGATGCTAAAGATCTTCTGCAGTTCAGGAAGCGAGACATACACACCTTGGTGATGCTGATTAGAAAGACTGAGTCTATTCTAGCCACAAACCAAGGGAGAGACTGTTAGGTCACAATTTGTTGGTTTGGGCTAGGCATCTATCTGTATAAGTCTGACGTGCTTCTGATTGAAGAAGACCTGAGTCCATGCTAGCTCAAACCAAGGGGGAGACTGTTAGGTCACAATTTTGTGGTTTGAGCTAGGCATTCATCTTGTATAGGTCTTGGTAGGTTTTGGGATTTGTTATGGTGGTTGTAACTTTTGTGTGGCTGTGTGCGGTCGTACAAGTGTGTGCGGCCGTACACCCTGTGTGCGGCCGCACACATGTGTGTGGCTGTACACTGGTGTGCTGTTGGGTGTGCTATAAATAGGCTGTGTCAGTGTGTCAGAAAGTGACGTATGTGTGTGTGTTTCCCAAGGTGTACCTGACATTTATACGTAATAGATGTGTGGATGCTTGGATTAATTCTTCTTCTACTCCTTCTACACTCTTTTTGATTGTTTGCATTAATTGATTACTGATTTGGATCTATAGATCGGGACTGACAATTGGTATCAGAGCCTATTCAGTGTCAATTTGAAGAATCATACGAGTGTGCGGTTGAAGATAGTTGTGGTTTTTGAGGTGCATTTATAATTTTTATTGGAACTAAAATTCATTCAAGAATCTAGTATTTTTGGGTGTGCGGTTGAAACTTTGAAGGAGTACGGTTGAACGAGTGCTGCCAAGTGTACAGTTGGCGTGTGCGGTTGAGTGTACTGTTGAGTGTGCTGTTGGAGTGTACTGTTGAGTGTACGGTTGGAGTGTGCTGTTGAGTGTGTGGTTGGAGTGTGCTGTTGAGTGTGCGGTTGGAGTGTACTGTTGAGTGTACGGTTGGAGTGTGCTGTGGAGTGTGCGGTTGAGTGTACTGTTGGTGTGTGCGGTTGGTGTGTGCGGTTGAAGTGTGTATGGTTGGGTGTGTACGGTTGGCGTGTACGGTTGTGATCTGGTCCACGGCCGTACACGGGTGTGCGGCCGTACACCCGTGTACAACCGTAATCAAGTGTACGGCAGTAATCCCTTGTGCGGCCGTAAACCCTCTCAGTTGTTGGTCAACCCAGGCTTGTAATGACCTGGGTTCCCAAACCTAAATAATCCCACTCATTGTGCAGGAACAGCTGCGGAGGAATGTCGTCAAACCTTGGTACGTCGACAGCGGTTGTTCCAGGCACATTGACAGGAGACATCTCCCAACTGCACGTCATTCAGACTTTTAATGGGGGCTATGTTTCCTTCGCAGGAGGAGATGGAGGGAAGATCACTCAAAAAGGGATAGTTGTAAATGGAGTGCTGAGTTTTGAGAACGTCATCTACGCTCCTGAGTTAAAGTGTAGCTTGTTGAGTGTCTCACAGATCAGCTTATGGACTACGGATAATGATATAAGGTTAAGCAGTGAAGACCTCGATGCTTTCTTTGACACTGTCCATAATGTCGGGCAACCTAGAGAGAAGGAGTTAGTGGTGTTGTCAAAGTGACGTCTCCAATTTTTGATCAGATGGCCGACACCTTTCAACCGATATGGATACAACTTCAAGGATTCCTCCCCTTAATTCTGCTATTCCTACATCTGTGCCATCCATAAGTGATCCGACACCGACACAAATCTCCCTGCCTTCTGTAAAAAGAAATTGACTCGATCTGAGGCAGGCAGTGTTTATTCAAGATCAAGAACCACCAGTCCAACAACCCTCCACAGCTGCTACACCAACTCAATCGACCCTAAAAGGACCAAGTAATTTTAGATCTTCGTTTGAAGTCGGGAGTTCTTCTGCTCCTGGGGGTTCTTCTTCTCCACAACCTGCGCATGATGCTGCGTCTTTGAGGCTTGCCAGGTTTCTTGCTCAACAAGATTCAGATCCTTTACCTCGTGGCAAATAAATATCAATAGGTGAAGGAAGTTCAGGGGGAGCAGGCCCATATATCTCAGAGCTCAAGGAGGAGATCACTACTCTTAAACAGAAGATCATCGAGAAATACGTTCTGATCGGAAACCTCGATATTCGAGTTTCCGAGCTTGAAGAAGAAAACTTTCAGAAGTCTAAACAGATCTCCGATCTCCAGCTTAATCTTGGTGCCCTATCAGCAGGCTACTCTGACTTGAAGAACAAACTTATTGCAGAATTTGGTGACAAGTTCAAGACCACAGTCGAAGAGCCTTGCGCCACTGCAGTGATCAAGTTTCGAGATAGCGATTGCGCTATTCGTCTTGTTGATGCTAAAGATCTTCTGCAGTTCAGGAAGCGAGACATACACACCTTGGTGATGCTGATTAGAAAGACTGAGTCTATGCTAGCCACAAACCAAGGGAGAGACTGTTAGGTCACAATTTGTTGGTTTGGGCTAGGCATCTATCTGTATAAGTCTGACGTGCTTCTGATTGAAGAAGACCTGAGTCCATGCTAGCTCAAACCAAGGGGGAGACTGTTAGGTCACAATTTTGTGGTTTGAGCTAGGCATTCATCTTGTATAGGTCTTGGTAGGTTTTGGGGTTTGTTATGGTGGTTGTAACTTTTGTGTGGCTGTGTGCGGTCGTACAAGTGTGTGCGGCCGTACACCCTATGTGCGGCCGCACACGCGTGTGTGGCTGTACACTGGTGTTCTGCTGGGTGTGCTATAAATAGGTTGTGTCAGTGTGTCAGAAAGTGACGTATGTGTGTGTGTTTCCCAAGGTGTACCTGACATTTATACGTAATAGATGTGTGCATGCTTGGATTAATTCTTCTTCTACTCCTTCTACACTCTATTTGATTGTTTGCATTAATTGATTACTGATTTGGATCTATAGATCGGGACTTGGATTAATTCTTCTTCTACTCCTTCTACACTCTTTTTGATTGTTTGCATTAATTGATTACTTATTTGGATCTATAGATCGGGACTGACATGTGGTTCGATTCAATTTTTTCTCACCCTTAGCATATACAATTGGTATAGCTTTCAACCCACAAAATTTTAAAGAACTAAGCTTATTCATCAACATATCATCAATGGTCATATAGGATATTGATTATGTATATATGTTAAACAATTTCAAAATAGGGAGACCCACTTCCATTGATGATTTTTTAATTTACACAGACGTGTTCAAAATTCACACTGAAAGAAGAAAGAATTGGAAATGAAGCAAAAACAGTTATAAGTCAAATCAAACTTCATCAAGCTTATATCAAATATACATCCAACAAAACGATTTTGTTAAACCAAAAAGTCCCAAGGAAAAATTTGAAAATTTGTATTGAACATGAAAATACTAATAAAACAGAAGGTATAAAGACAGTACACCTATTTTGGAAATAAAATCGCCAAGACAATACATCGATTTTGGGAATTCAAAACACGAAATTTACATAAAAAACTTCACCTTTGAATTATATAGTTAAGAGATTACACTTATTTTAGAAATAATAATCTTGTTTGGCGAACTCCAGGCTCATGATGAGCTTTTTCACCCGGGGGGGGGGGGGGCGGGGGCTCGTCTTATAGGCGTCTGGGAATTCACTCTCTGTAAGAATAACAAAAACAAGCTTAGACATCCATACTGAGGGTTGGACCCCGATATAGCTCTCTGATGCCTATGTTAGAATGCAACATTTTGTTATTGAGTTTGTCTCAAGGAGTATTTGTTTTTTCCTTACCTCGTTAGCATGTCCCCTGGGGATATTTATAGGCTATCCATGGTTAGTAAATCCCACTCCTTAGACCAGTCCTCTACTCAGTGCCAGACTACGAGTTGTCTTTCCTCGTGTAATTTCCTTGCTTATTTTATTTGCTTTGTATTATTTGCAATATTTTTTGAGATATGATTGTGGTGCTTGCGTACGGTATATTTGAATACAAATTTGCCCGAAACAGGTGGCAATACTTGTAAAGCCGACCTTGTAGGCACCAGGATGATAGTGGGTTTCCTCGAACTACCGGCCTGGTATGCCATTAAGCCCCGCAGTCTGAAACGTAAAAGAATATTGTCGAAATATTTTTGCCATTCAAACTTTTAAAATCCATATCAGGTACTGCAGAATCCTTCGCATTCAGCGCATTAATACTTCCGCCGTCGTACGTCATCTTGCTTGCTTTGATTAGGTTTCCCGTATTAATTGCTTTAACCGGTCCCTCTGATTAATTATCGGGTAATCCTGATTATTCTTGTAGAAACTTCCTTACATGCTTTACCTTTGAATTTGCTTTTAATGTGTTTGGTATGGGTGATGACATGTCTGCGGTGGCGTCCAAAGTGGACTACTGGATGTTGGAGCGGTATAGTCATGAATATCATCTTTCTCTTGTGCTTGGGATCCAGGTTCTATCGTCGTCGTCTTCTATTCTTGATGCCCCACCTGGTAAGGTTGGATTTTATCTTCAACATCTTGCATGTGGATTGTGGTTACCCCCGTCTTGCTTCTTCTTAGAGGTTCTCTGTTTTTACAAAGTTCATCTTATCCAACTGTTTCTAAATGCGGTGTCCAAGATTGTTACTTTCGAAGTGTTTTGTGTTGCTCATGAGATACCGCTTGATGTTTCCTTGTTTCATTATTTTTATCGCTTAAAGAAGTATGGTGACTGGTTTTCTTTCTGTATTCGTCACTTTCCTCTGTCTCCGGATTTGGTTCACTCGAGTAGGAATTGGAAAAGTAGGTTCTATTGGGTCAATATATATAGCTTGTGTTTTCCATTTGTCCCCATGCTATTTTTCACTTGGTGATGACTCGGTGTCTTTGTCTTCCGATCTTCTTGGATTTTTCCTTTGTTTTCACATTTCTGTGTAAAAAGAGCATTTCTGCCAGAAGTTGTACTTACCCTGTGTCACATGAGCCCATTCTGGAAAGCCCGCTGTCAACTACCAGTGTTATCTGTATGTCATGTAGTTTTGTCGAACCTTTTTACTAGATTTAGCATCAATTACTTTGTCTTTTCTTGCCCTTGTTGTGGGTAATCTCCTGATATAAATGCTACCTTTTGGTATTTTGTCTATGCTCAATTATTATTATAGATGGGAGTAAATTCTCTTTCCAACTGACGGCTTATTTGGGTAGTGATATCCCACCCAAGTCCATTGTGGTGGATGACGTGGTTCCTGACCAAAATGTGGACCAGGTGACTGTGACACTTGAGTCGCCTCTTGCACTCCCAGGTTTTGGGCCGCATGCTTTCTCTATCAAGCAGCTATTGGATACATCTTAACCTGTGATTCGTTATGCACCTGTCAGTTCTTCTAGCTCCACGGGAGTTGTATCCCCCGTAGGTGTCTCCTCTAACCAAAAACGTAGGTAGGTTCTTTCGCATGATCAATTTGATCAGTTTCTCCAGGATATTTCGCATGTCGGCCCTTGATACGCCTCTCCTTTCTCCATTGGTCATATGGCCCCTAAACTAGCTGGTATTTAAATTGACTGTTGTGCGTCACGTATTTATGTCTATGTTGTGTGTTGTTCGTGATTACTTTGTTCTGTTTAACACCATTTTCCCAATGTTGTAGGTGGGTGTTGTTTGTATGTGTTGTTTAAGGAAGAGTTGAATGAAGCGTGCCGGTTTATAACTCGTGAAGAAAAAATTTTCTCCTCTATGCTAGGGCAAGATCTCCAATTTTTTTATGGGTTGCTGACCTTGCAAAATCGGTTTTTGGCTGCGGTCGTGAATGTACGTATTGGAAAAGGCATGAATCTTTTCAGTGAGGAAATGTTGCTCAAAGCTGGAGAGATGTATGTTATCAATACGTTATCGGGATGCTGCGGCCAAGGTAAAGTCTTTAGAAGATCAAGGGACGCTCGTCCAGGTGAAGTATGAAGCTTGTCTCCAGGAGAACAACATGTTTCGTTCTCATCTTCTTAACAAGGCTGGTATGTTTTGGTACATTGATTATTGTTGATGGTGATTGTGTTTGTTGTCGGAATCGTTGTTTTGCTAAAGTATTTTGGAAATTGATATATGCATCTAGTAACATATTGTCTCCATCCAGCGGGTGTTAAGTAGGTATCTAGGTCGATACTTGGTGTTATTAATAGCTAATGTGTGTCCTGGATTTCTTGATGTGTAGTCAATATATTGGTGGATCAAGCTATATGATTTGAAGAATAAACAAGGTTGCAGAACTTGCTACTCGGTACCTGCTCGGCCGACTACCGAGTAGCGAGTACTCGAGAGTACTCGGGATTACTCAGGGAGTACTCGGATTCGGTAATTCGTGTAGAAATAATTTTAAGAAAATTTTATATGTCAAAATCATAAGTTAAAATCACAATTTGATTGAAATATATAACACAATTAGATACACGTGAATACATAAGACCTGAAATACACATAATTGTCTCAATTCGTGAATAATTACTGAAAATTTAAGATATATATATATATATATATATATATATATATATATATATATATATATATATATATATATATATATATCTATATATATATTGTCACACCCCCAAACCAAGGATGGCGGAAACGTCCGGGGGTGGAGGACTTCATGTATAGTATCACAACAACGAATATAATAGTGCTCAAAGTAAATACAACCATCATAAATATAATTGAAAAGGTTACACCATGGAATAAGTTTACATGTTTCAAAATCAATTACATTATGATGACAAAATGAAACATTTGACGATTTATCGTCTCATCCTCAAAATGCTGTTGGTTTTCCTGTTTCACTGATTTCCTAAGAATACAAGTAGTTTTGAAAAAGTGTCAACAATTAAGTTGGTGATTTCATAAGAGTTTGTTTGAGAAAGAAACCGTTTTCCTTGTAAAAGCGACAAAGTATGTTTCCAGAAAATCCAATATTTTCTTTATTAAGTGAAATGAATGCTTCTATGTTATGCGATAATGAACCCTAGAAAAGCCCATATATTTCCTTCTATAATTGTCCAGTGTATATAAGTTATATAAAATTTAAGTTAAATAAACCGTCGAATATAATGGGTCTGTCCTCGGTCCACAACCAAACAAGGAACAAGAAGTAAGGCGGGCCCACCAATTCTAAGTCGATTATGACTAGATTCTTATATAACTCTAGCATATACACTTAGCAATTATAGCTGAAGTCTAACAATTCTAGATGAAATATAGTTTTAACAGAGATATGATTCCAAAGAAAATCCTATATTTTCCTAATAAAAGTTATGTGGTCCTAAATCCCAGGACCGGAAATAAACAAGTATTTTCCATACTTAAAGATATAAAAGTGGTTTTAATTCGGCATAAACTCATTTAGTTTAGAAGTAAAACCCCTTTTCAAAGTAGAAGTTTCCATGTAAACTTAAAAGATTGTTAACTACCTATGTGAGTCGCTATAACCATACTATGACGAGAAATAACCTGCACAACGTTTTTCAGACGTTAAGATACTATGACTCTTGTCACCCGTACACCTGCAGGTCCCACTGTAGCTAGCAGCAAGGTGTGGGGTGTCAAACCCAATATAGATCTATACACAATTATCACGCTCTCCCTACAAGAGACTCTGGTTATAACTTACAGGAATTGGGATCCCGTACTCGAACGTACGGGGAGAGAATTGCCTCACATCCTAAGTTAACTAGTTTACACACAGTTTGATATTAAAACCTCTTCCATGAAGGAAGTAAAATCACCTTTTCTGAATAAATTAGTGATATGAAATCCTTAAACTATTACTATTATAGTTTATTACGTAAAGATAAAAAAACCCATTTGTTTTGAGAGTAAAACCTTTTTCATGTAGTAAAAATCCATAAACTATGCTTATTGAAGTTTATTATAAGTATTCGAAATGAATGAGTAACCTTATCATGAATGACTAAATTTCAGTTTATGATGATAAACTAACAAGAAAATACATTCAATATTTAGAACTTATTTTTATACACTTTGCTCAACATAATACAAAGTGTTATGAAAGTTATAAGTTCTTAACTAGTTTTTAACCGTTCTGCACTGTTTTAGAAAAATCATAGAAAAATCATACGAAGTCGAAAACTGAATCCGTAAATTCTGAGAGCTCATAAATTGTGTCTAGTTTGTTCATAATTTTTATTATGATTTTTGGAAGTTTTTAACTTGTGTTAAAATGTTCATATTCACAGACTGGTCCGAATTCGTTTTTGAAATGATAGGCAGTTTTGTAAAAATCACCATAAATCGTAGAAAAATCGTATGGTGATGTGCAAGTAGTCATTTTAAAGTATGAACCTGAACTATTTGCACCTAATACAGTTTTGAAAACTAAAATGTTTAAGTTGACCAAAACAGTCCGTGAATGGAGTTGAACTTTTCTGATGAAGGCTGTTAAATGAGTTTAGTTGAGTTCTTGGTGTTTTAACTTGTATTCCTCCCCTTAAAACTTAAGAAAAACATGAAAAGATAGGGGTATGAACTCACCTTGAGTGATTTCAGTAGATGGATGATGGAGAAAAGAAGTGCTCAACTCAAGAACACTTGGGAGGTGCTTGAAGATTTGAAGATCCAACACAAATACAACGATATTTATGTAAGCAATCTATGATTTGGATGAAAGATAGTAGAATATCTAAGTGTGGGAGGAAGATACTTACCAAATGTGGAGGAAAAACCCAAGACCAGCCTTTGAATCTCAAATTTTTAGAGAGAGAAAGTGGAAGAGGGTGTTTGTTCTTCTTAAGAAAGAGTGAATAAAGTGGGAGGAGAAGGGAGGATATCTCCAGCTTTTGTTCAACATTATGGCTGAAAAAGAGTGGGAAAAGGACAATGATTGACTAGGTATGGGTGAATAGTGACTAGGGGTTGTACTATGAAGGTATGGGGAGGTTGCTTGTGTCCTTGTTCAAAGGATAAGTCAACACTCCTCCTAAATATCTTACCAACTAGATTTTATTCTTAGGCAAGGATTTTCCTCAAAATATAATTAAAATATGAATATTTGGGGTTTATTATATTAAAATACGAGTTTGGCTGAAAATCCCGCGTTAAAATCTCGAAAAACGGGCTCAAAACACTAAAAATATTGAAAACCGGGTAGGAATTGCTGAAATCCGAACTACAGGGCCGAAGGTGCGCAGGTTCGGCTCCTTAGGAGCATAGAACTGAAGGCGAGGCTCGGTTGTGCATGGGAACCGAGAGGTCTCGCAGGCTGCTCATCAGAAGGGACCGAGAGTGGAGGGGTTCGGCTGCGCAGGTGCTTCTCGGACCGAAAGTAAGAAGGGAAGAGCCGAAAGTCAGGTCTCGGTTCTGATTAGTCAGGGGACCGAAATAGACCGACCGCTCGGTCCATTTCGGTTGAGAGGGTTTCGGTTCTCAGGAGGTTCGGCTCTAAGAGGTTCGGCTCCTAAGAGGAGTTTCGGCTCCTTAAGGCTGTTTTTCGTGTAGACTTCCGTTTTCGAGCTGTTTTCGTCAAATTCAAGGGTCGGGATGCCCCGAGTGATTATAAAAAGTTGAGAGAGATTTTGAAAGAGATTTGGGAGAGATTTCTCATACTTGGAGAGATTTGGCATACTTAGAGAGATTTGGGAGAGATTTGACATTTTTGGAGAGATTTCTCATACAGAGAGAGATTTGGGAGAGATTTCACATACTTGGAGAGATTTGGCATACTTAGAGAGATTTGGGAGAGATTTGACATTCTTAGAGAGATTTCTCATATACATAGAGATTTGGGAGAGATTTCACATACTTGGAGAGATTTGGGAGAGATTACACACACTTGTAGCGATTTCTCCTACTTAGAGAGTTTTGGGAGAGTTAGAGTGAAAGAGATTGGGAGAGACTTCTTTTGTGACCTTTTTGAGTGTTTGGCTTCGCAACCCAAGGTTTGTACATCCCGTTAAGTCTCGTTATGATTGTTATATGCCCCTGAGGGTTAAGGAATAATGTTTTATCGAGTAGTTTCATCACTTGCCCTGATTAGGGTTTAGAATTTCCGAACACGTGAAAACTCTAAGTGATACTTTGTATTAAGATTGCGAGTTGTTCAATAAGAAACATAATGGAAACCCTAATGTACAAGGGTTAGATGAGTTGACCGGTTTGACTTGTTGACTTTAGTTGACTTTGACTTGGCCAAAAATTGACGGTTGTCACATCATCCCCCCGTTAGAAGGAATTTCGTCCCGAAATTAGCGTTTCGACTGGGACTTCAAGAATTTGGAGGAAAGATGGGGGAACTTTTCGTAGTATACGGAATTGATCTGGTGGGGAACAACCCGCTTGATGTTAAGTGACGACCTTGGAATTTCTTATTGTAACTTGAGCTGAGTCGATTTAAAGGAGTTATTGTTTTGGAATGATAGTGTATTTTACGTGTGCCTTTATGCTCTCCGCTTTATACTTGGTATTACCACTATGAATATTTTATAATGTAGTTAGCGAGTTCCAGCATTACGAATGTTTCAACAATTTGTGACGAAATTTGCATTATAAGTCCTACCAGTTCTTTTATAATCGCTTGGTGTAAACTAGTCGTATATCATTAAGATTGCAAGGGCATTCGGATGGGTGACCCCGCCTTAAGCCCACAACCAAACAAGGAACAGGAAATGAGGCGGAATCACACATTCTAAGTCCGTAGAATCTTAATGATATATGACCATAATGTTTACACCAACGTTTTTATATAGGAGGTAAGACTTATTTGGGTTTTGTCGTGTTCGCAAGATTTATGGTTGGTATACTTTATTCGATGCTAGATTTAGTAAAAAAAAATTTAAACGTCGATGTCAGAAACACGTACTGATATTTATGGGCGGTTCCGGGGTGGTCTCTCCGGCAGTGATCGCGAGCACCCTTCCACCATCACCGGCATTTCGTGCACTTGGGCAGTCCCTTTT